GACGCAGCCAGCAACCCTTTGTTTGCGTTTGGGGCTGTTCAAACCAAATTTAGTAACACCGTTAAGGCTGTTCTAGAATAAGCTGTTGCAGACATGAATGAAGTCTGAGCCTTCAGAGAAATGCATGTGTTTAGCGAGTAAAGCAAAAAGGTAGTCTGCCCCTATACTGCGAAGGTGTTTATTCGAATTATCTTCTTTTAGGTTTCGTTGCACTTTCACTTGATTACAATGAAGTACCCAGCACGGTAACTTTCGTTTCGCTGTTTTCGTTAGATGCGGAGTTATTGTAGGGGAAGGGTGCACCAGAGAGGCAGGCAACTGCTAGGCGTGACTTTCTGGGCACCTTTGTGTTTCAGTAGGGGCGTTTACAACTTCATTGGTGCTTCCCATGCCACTGTTAGCTGCAGCTCTAACCCCGCTCTTGCCGATATGAGCCCTTTGCTGAAGTAGCCCACAAGGTAGTGTTGTTGCAACATGACCTTAAAGCACTGGGGATAGGGCTTTACTGACATCGACGAAACAAAAAACAGCACACTACTGGCTTCCTATCACGCGTGACGGAGCCATTCCGGCCCTCCGATAGACGCATGTAATCGCAGGTATTCACCTTTTCAAGAAAAAAAGGGCAAGATGTACTGTGCTCGGATTGAGGTTAAGAAAGGTTTAGTGATGCTTCGGCCCGAGAGACGCACTGCACACGCTGTCATATTCTCTATCCTTAGTTTGCCAAGATTGGCAAGGGCCTATGCCTATGGTTTTCAATTTTGGTGTATGGATGTTTCCTGCGTTACCAACGAACGCCGCATTTAGTATTCGAACTGACCTGGTACACGATCTGTGCGTATGCCACCTTGACAGCAAGGAAACCTTAGCTCCTTTCAGTTCAGGACATGGCTTCCATAAGGCCAGCTTTGGTAAATGATCCGTGTGTTCCTTCGCCTTTACGCTCCAAGCACCCGGAGTATATCTCTATACAGTTTTGGTGCATGCAATACAAGGCCCTCTCTTTTTGACGAACAGAATCCGCATAAATAAATGAATATTCTGGTTCTGGGTAGGGGATTTTCCCAGTTTCAACGTCCTCTTTCTTGGCAGTTGTTGGAAAGAGAGAGGACCCGGCACAGTGGGGAGCCCGATCACAAGTGTTGCATCCACCGCCAACTCTGTTTGCCGTGGCATTTGCGAAGCAAAAGAGTTCTATAGAAACGTGCCAAATTCTCGTCTGCGAGGCATCGCTCGTCACCTCCCACTCATCAGTTTAACTGCACATTCTCACCCGTTGCGACGGAGAGGCAGTGGACTCGTGCAAGCCTCTAAGTATTTTTGGAGAAAAATAACGGGCAGCTAACTCTGGAGAACCGTAGTGTCACTGACACGGTCCTCGTTTGCAAGGGCAACTTTGAAGTGGGGTGCTTGGAGTTTGTTTTTCTGGCACAGAGGCAGAAGCAGAAGGACGCGGATTAGCGAAGCAGGCCTACCTTGTTTAGTGCGAGCGGCTCTCCTTGGTCCTAAGTGCATGCGTATACATCTTCAACAACGTATATAAGAACGTTTTTTTCAGAATCTACTGGCATTCAAGCCCGCCAATGCACTTCCTCTTCGATCTTTTTCCACGGAAGCCACAGCGCTAACATGCAGCGATACAACTGTACCAACGCTGAGGAGCCATGATGTAAGTAGCTGAGCAGCAATATGAACGGAACTGCATGATGGCACGGGCACTAGATCACTGTCGAATAACCCGCAACAGGGCATCCAAGCGCATATATCCTTTATCAGCCTGCGACGTGGCCTCTGCATCAACACAATTGTCATCTGCACTACTTTGCCGCTTGGGGTGAGCATCTCTGCTTTCCAGGGAGTTAGTCTGATGCCAACGGTGCCTTCGCGTTCTGTGAAGGCCTTCGACAGTAGCCCACGTTTCAGAAAGTAGCAACTACACTTAGGGCATTATGTGCAACAATAGGATGTCTCGATAAATCTCAGTGCCAGTCCTTCCCTTAGTTTCTCAACACGAGGTAGAAAGCCAAGTATAGCGGCTGGATGAAGATCGAATCCATGGCCGTTACCTCTAAAACTTTGAGCTCAAACACGTATATTTTTGCGCAAGTTTGAGAAGCGAGGCAAAGACCTGCGCGAGGTCATGACTGCTTATCGTATTTCGTGTTTGCTACTCCTTCAATTTTCCCTAGTGCCCCAGTCCGAGGCCGTGTGGGCAAGCATCCACACACTTTATTGCAGTGCAAACATACTTGGAACGCCACATGGTAGCGAATTATGAAAGGCTTCTTGCCATCGCAAGTTATTGAATCCTAGCCTCAAAAATGATGTACTTCGGTAATCTGCGTGAGAAGCAGCTGTTCGAAAAAGCACAAAAGGTATATTGTTCGTCCACAAAGGCATTCGTTTTTCATGCAAATATTTGGCGTCTTAGGTTTTTGTGCATCTGTACCAGGAGTAAAACCTTATCCGGCAAAGGCAGAGACCATCTGGAGGTGGCCACTAGCCGTAGACATTTCAGGGATATCTAGAAGTCCCTCGATCGCGCATCGTAATATTACAACTTTATCACTGGATCCGTTAGCATCGTTGCCCTTATACTGGAACTAGTGATGAAGGACAAAGCAACTTACTTGGACAAAGAGGGGAGAAGAACTGGTGAGAAGCCCCATTGGACACCTGACGTCGTCCCCGCCAATGGCTTTCCCTGATTTCGACGAAGAGTTTTTCCTAACAACCGATTCCACTGACGCTGCAGTTGTAACGATGCTTTCTTAACAACGCGGTGACTCCCAAAATCACCAAATAATCACCTGCTACTCATACTGTTTTACGGAAAGAGAGCAGAAATATCTGGTATACAAGAAAGATATCTACGCGGCGGGGCGAGGAAAAAAGAGTAGTAGGCACTATCAATATGGCAGATGTTTCACATGTTAAGCAAAACATGAATCCCTGACGCGCTTAACTACGAGATTTCAAGGCCTTGGTAGTGAAAGCGCCGTAGAGTGGGTCATTACGGCTTGACAGTCACGTATATCAAGACGATCACCAAAATGGCCGGTGGCGCTATGTCGCAACGCCATACCACTCAGGCCTTGTATTTTGCATATGCACATGGCTGCACTGATTCTATTTTCCCCTCCTAAATGGCACTCTTCTTACGCTGTTGATACTCACCTGGCTGCACAACTACGTGCGACGGATTAGGCTTCACAGAGGACGGCCTCTTGTGGTGCAGGATTCAACTAAGTCTTCCTTTTTTCAACATGTGCTAACATTGTTGACAATTTTTGAACGCTTACAAGCCCCTCAATAGCCAGCGTGGGTGCAATTGCCAGCTTCAGGAAGGCAATGCTACGACCTCACACCCTTCAGCACCAACAATCTACAAGCCAAAAGCATTGAGTGCACGCTTCTGCTTTTATGACAAAACTGCAAATCAAACAGGAATCTGGCATTAAGCTTGCATGTGGAGTAGGCACATCTGCAGGGTCATCTTCTTGACCACGGCTACGGCATTACCCTCAAATGAACGCCCAGAGCGAATTTCTAGCTGCCGACGAGAACGCATAAGCGGCCATGGAATCAGAGGCATTTTTAAAAGGCCAATATCAGTCCAACAATCCTGATGATACGCTATTTTGCAATTGAGATGTGCTCTAAAAACGCGTGGAGCTTCTCGTGACGGTTGCGGCCCTATTCGACCAGCTGCTCTATGCCCGTCAAAAATATCCGTCGGAACCAGACCAACATAATATTTTGGGCTATGAAACAAACAAACCGGCCGCCCGAAGAAACTGGTGAATAGCGTGGACTACCTACCTACTCCGGACGTGGAGTGGACCGTTCGTAGAAATGTGAAATTGAGGGCAGTGATCGGCTGAAAAATGCAAAGCATAGACTGATAAATTTGGAATGGGATCCAAGACGGTTTCTAAAACACTCCTGAATGAAAATTTCAATTAAACGTAAGACGCGCTGGCCAGTCATAGCAGGTCACCAAGATGACAACAACCCTCGCCTCAGAGGCACGGGTGCAGCATTCGTTGAAATCCGCATCATGCTGGAATGCTGTACCATACCCTTGGTTTATTTTACCACCAAAACGTAAAGGAAGAGGGCAGGTGGGTTGTAGTTCAACATTTCGCCAACAGCGGAGCCGTGGGCCAGGTAAGCAGTGTTCCGATAGGCGGCGCAGCTGCGACCCCAAACAACCCTCCCCGCAACTCCCGTCCGCCGCCACCTGAACGAACATATTGAACCGTCATATGGTTATAAAGTTGGTTTTTTGCGGAAGCTCCTAAGTTGAAGACACGTTTTTTTCCCCAACTGTTTGCAGGTCTCGGTTACAGCCCAAAGTTAGGTCACGTCCAGTGAAGATGAGGTTGCACTCGTCTTTGTTGTTCGTGCTGCCAGGTATATCCCTGGTGGCGGAAGTTCGTTCTCAGAGCTATGAAACATTTGAGAGTACCACCACCTACCATGATGCGCAGCAGGATACTACTGCTGCAGTGACAGGCAGCATTGATTCGGAGAGTTACAGCCTTTCCCACACCGAAGAGGGTTATATTGGACAACTCAGCGCCGAAGATGATTCAGATCGTCCAGACTGGAGGAGAATGCTCAGGAACAGGGGCCAATGCGATTCGACAACCAGCAACACCTTCACTGTTTCAGAGCAAGCTGGTGTAGCCGGGAAGGCAATGGAAGGCGAATACGAAATGGAGGGATACAAACAAGGAGAAGGTAATGCAGCACGCACCAACGCAAATGACAACTCCAGTTTCCCTCCCCCTTCTGTCCCCCATGACCCTACACGAAGAAAAATCTTCCCAAATCAAGGTGTCTCTTACGACTCCGAGTCTACTATGCGTCGGTATCTTGACACTGAGGATGCAGATGCCGAAGCTATGGAGGATCAACAGGTTGGTGAGAGCGCAGTTGACCGTGCGTTGGGCAAGAAGAAGAAGGCGACGTATGTTGCTGCGCCTATGAAGGCACCCGCCCCGATAGTGATGGCTGCGCCAACCAAGAAAGCTGCTCCAATGTTCGTTGAACCTGCACCAATGATCATTGAAGCGGCTCCCACCAAGAAGGGAAGATACCTTGCTGCTGTGGACGAGCCTGAAGGGCAGCAAGAAACAGAGCAGTTCGAGCAGCACGACACCACTGGTGAGCGTAGCTTGGGCAAGAAGAAGAAGGTTGCCTACGTGGCTGAGCCCATGAAGGTTGCTCCTCCCCCAATGAAGTTCGCGCCACCTGCTCCTGCTCCCATGGTGATGGCAGCACCTACGAAGATGGCCCCTGCTCCCCTGTTCGTTGAGGCTGCTCCCCCCATGAAGGGAAGATACCTTGCTGCTGAGGATGAGCCAGAGGTGCAACTCGAAACCGAGAATTTCGAGACTGAACAATACGACACAGCAGGTCAGCGTAGCTTGGGCAAGAAGAAGAAGGCGACGTATGTTGCTGCGCCTATGAAGGCACCCGCCCCGATA